GCTTTCTTTGATGTCACACAGCTAAGATTGGCATATAACGTATACAAAGCAGTGTATGCCATCGTGCATGCACTTCATGACTTACTGTTCTGTGCAAAAGAAAAAAGTACAACTGTACTGTGTGGAGATGTTTCAAGAATAGAGCCCTGGCAGGTGAGTAAAATACTGCAAGTCAATAAATGGCTCCATGTCTGCATTTCATCAATATAAGAGAGACATGAACATGTAGATCTATTTATTCATTATTTCAGAGACATTCTGCCCATGTAGTTTTAAAGCTCAACATATAGATTTCAGATACTACAGCTTGAAAAGTTGTCAAAACGGTGATATGTAAACCTCTTCAACACAATAATAAATTGCTGCATAAATTAACTTGAGATGTTTATCCAATACAAGGTCACAAAACATCTAAAAAAAGTCAACTTTGTGAACCGTTTTGGAGAAGCTGTGTACTTTGATGAGAACGGAGATCCTCCTGCGGCCTATGACATTATAAACTGGCAACTCAACAAAGGAGTGGTCAGCCATGTGACAGTGGGTCACTTTGATACATCACCAGATGGAGGCAGTCAGCTAGTGATTGATGGGGACAGTATTGTCTGGAGCACTGGGGAAGAGGTAAGATATTTATTTAATTTTTATTAAGTGCTGTGTTTATTTCATCTAAAATGGGATTAGAAACAGTTCTGAGACTGACAAAAACCATGTCACATCATATACAGTGTATTGAAAAGATGAGGACAAAACATTGGAAGTCAGCTCTAAATATTGAATAAACATTGCATTTTTAAGTTATCCTCTCAATTCACAGAAACTTCTGAAATAAATGACAGTTTCAACAATGCTTCTGTCTGCCCAATCTTAAAACAAGCAGAAGTGATACTTTGACAGTTTTTCTCTCTTCAGGTTCCCAAAGGAGTGTGTTCTGAGAGCTGCCCACCAGGCACAAGAAAAGCAGCCAGGAAAGGCCAGCCCATCTGCTGCTTCGATTGCATTCCTTGTGCTGATGGTACCATAGCAAATACCACAGGTATGAACTTACAATCTATTACATGTAAAGTATCACCCCAAGATAACAATACAGCTGTAAATGTAAAGCATAATAAAACTGCTATAAATCTATTTCATGGCTTGGTACAATGCCTATGAACTTTGGAAAACGTGTTGAGTTTTGTTCAGTTGGAAGTGCATTTTCCTTTCTTTCGACAAGGACAGTAATAAGATATTGGAAAAGAAGGATCCCATCAAATTTAAGTGGGCCATGCTCATAATCATTTTTTTTTTGTGGAATGAAGATTGAACAACTAAAATACTAAAATATATTGTGATAGTGAGCAATGAAGGTGGACAGTCATCTGTATCTTAATGAAGAAGAAATTAATTAGGATCTGAAGGCTTGGTGCCAAATATGAGTTTCCTCCTGGTATGTTATAACACAGAATCAGAATTATCCCATGTCTTACTGTAAGTGATGCTGATTGGAAATACTAAAGGGAAGTTTTATACAAGAATATGAAAATGATAGCAATATAAAATAGCTGTGAATTGTGAGGCTTAAAACTGAATGTTTCATGGCATTTGTTTCACATTTCAGTATCTTTACTTAAAATGTCATTATTGAAACTATAACTGGTATTAAATAGATATGTTTTAATGCAATAATTTAAATTAATAATATTATACAAAAATATATACAAAAAAAATGTTCACATAAAACTATTATTTTCTGAAAACTGACACCACTAATTTCCCCTCAATTCTCTTCAGGTGCAGCTGAGTGTGTGGAATGTCCACAGGACTACTGGTCTAATGATGGAAAAGACAGCTGCATCCTCAGAGACATTGAATATCTTTCCTACTATGATGCAATGGGAATCACACTCACTACTGTGTCATTGTTTGGACTCTGCTTGACAGTAGTCACTATTTCAGTCTTCTTTTCCTTCAGAAGCACACCCATTGTAAAAGCCAACAACTCTGAGCTCAGCTCTCTCCTGCTGTTCTCTCTGCTGCTGT